AACCAGATAGCCACTTGTGGGGAGCTGATTACAATGGACCCTTTTCATAATGGAGGGGCTGACGACTGCAATGTGTCCTTACTGGGAAAGGCGCTTAGTCCAGATTTGGATCTGTCTCCCTTACCTGTCACACCTCTGCTGCAATCTCGCTGAAGGCCTCGTGCACTGTGACAGCACCTCACGCACCATTCTTCCCAAGGACTGCCCGGTGAGAGAAGTGTGGTGACAGGCCGGTGCCCATGGGTGTCCTTAGCTCTATCTGACTTACATCGTCCAGAAACTTGGAATCACAGCAAACTGAGTAATGGCGTGATGAAAACCAAGTTACGGAGGCAGCGTGGGGACGTGTCTTGAAGTTGCGACATGCCCTGGACGGGCCGAGCGCCATGAACCACCGGCTGACACAGAGGTGTTCACCGTAGCCAGAACATACGGACCCAGAGACGAAGGGTAAACACAGGGTTTGCTTCCATGATGACTTAATGATACATTTGCAAAATATTTTCTTCGCATCTAGTCACTCCGCTCTGCCAAAACTGGATTTATTCCCCCAAGAGATAAGTCCTTCCAGCGGAATTCGCGGCCCTGGCCCCTCTGAATTAGACCCGAGGCTGGCACTGCGGGCAGCCCTCTGTGCGCTGGCAAGATGAGCAGCCAAGGAAGACGTGGACATTTCGTGGTCACTGCCACCATCGCTGCTCAGCTGGACAAAGGCAGCAAGCTTCAGACCAGTCTCTTTCTGCCTTTTCTCCCCCAAACTGTGCTTCCTCTGTGAAGCATCAAAGCACACCACACCCCCGCTGCCAGCGGCTTCCCGCTTCACTTACTGTGACCCCAGCTCTCTCCTGGGACCTGCAATGCCCTTTCTGTCTCGCCCTGGCTGACTGCCCGACCATGGCGTCCTCTCCCGCCCTGTTTCCTGTGCTCCAGTCGCTCTGGCCTCCTCGCTGCCCCTCAGACACATTCAGCTCCTGCTTGTCTCTGGGCATCTGATGTTCCTTCCCCTGGGACCTCTCCTGTCCCAGACCTTTACCTCCTGCTCACCTTTCAGTCTCCACTCCAATGTCCCCTCCTGAGAGACACGAGGTCGCCCTCTGCCACTCCCGCTCTCCCTGACTCTCCACCACGAGAGCCACACTCCTCGTTAGCGCTGAGATGACCCCACTGACCGACTCACGGGGTCTGTTAAAATGCTGGAATGTAAACCTTGGGTAACACTTTATTCCCTGCTGGATCCCTGTGGTGTCCGGCTCACAGAGGGTGCCCCACGCCTCTTCAGAGCCCGACCGAGTTCTGATTAACTGAAAAGGGGGGACAGAGGCGTCACGGCACATCTAAGCAAGCAGGCCCCCTGACAGTAAGGGCTGCGGCCACCGCAGCTGGCAAAGAACATGGCCAGGAAAAGTGCTGGGCACTTGGAGCCTGCAACAGGGACTCGACGGGCAGAGTCAACACTGCACACGTGGCTGTGCAACGCGATGGGAGAGAGGAATTCTCTGTGGCACCTGCGCGTCCACGTACGGTGATTTATTTTCTGTCCCCTCTTCCCCTCTGCCTCTGATCGTTATGATGAGGGCGTGCCGCTTAAGCTTTCCTCTGGGTATAACAACGGACGGGGCGCTGCCACGGCGTGGAGAGGGGACAGATAGCACCCCGGGGGACTTGGAGGTCCCCGCGGTGACTGCTGGGCTATGGGGCGTCTCCCTCGAGAGGGGTGGGAGTGTTCCCATTATACGTGGAATAGGTGCCTCACGTCGGGATAACGTTCTTTTAAAAATGAGAACTCTCGACCCTGCTTCATTTTCCTTTCCGTAAAGTACTATCTGCCGTGTCACATGGTTCCTGGTTAACGTCTCACCCCTCGCCAGAATGTAAGTGATTTAGGGGACTTTGTTCGTCCACTGCTGTCACCTGGCACACGGCTGCTGATCGCAGGAGGGAACCGACGGAGAGCCTGTCCAGGATCCCTTCCATGTCCAACACGGCCTGCGTTTCCTTGGGGAATGACCTCCGCTCCACTGTGTCCGCCTTAGCGCACAGGGACGCCGTGCGCCTGCCTCCTTCTCCCCGTCCGCGTGCCACTAGGTAGCGTGCACGTCCCTGAACTTCGAGAGTTGCACCCCCTCTCCTGGGACTTGGACTCCTGACTAAGTGACAGGAGGACAGAAGGACGGGCTGGCCCCCTCATCCCCGGGGGTGGCACCACGGCTAGTCTTCCTGACGCTCACCTCCTCCAAACTCCTTCCCCATGGTTCCTTGGCTCCCGACCGCCGTCTGCTTCCTAGACTGGTGCCCCAGCCCTTCCGTCAACCCTGGGAACACCTAACAGCCTCCCAATAAACCCTCTCTCTGCTTAAGCAGCTCCATTACTTTTATTCCTCTCAACAAAAGAACACGAAAATCAAAACAGAACAGAACACTGACTGACGGCACAGAAACAAGCTGTTTGCACGTGCGAGAAATCGTCCACACCCCTGCCCTGCCCTCGGAGGGAGCCAGCCCTGCCAGCACCCCGATCTGACTGCCAGCCCCCAGAACCGAGACAATGAATCTCAGCAATGAATTGCTGCTGTGTTATGGCCGCCCCAGCCCACTAATATCCAGCCCCCAGAACCGAGACAACGAATCTCTGTCACTTAAGACACCCAGCTTTGCTGCTGTGTTATGGCCGCCCCAGCCCACTAATAGAACGTATGTGATTTTATTTCCGTTTTTTCCTCACTTTGGAATTATAGCGGTCCTTTCCCACGCTGTTACAGGGGCTTCCTACTTGTTATGGACTGTTTCGCGACCGTCGCCCGTGTAACACGCCAAGTCAACAGTCTTCTGTGCCGACACCGACACGGATCAACTCTTGTGCTGTCACGCGCGACGCTGTGAGGAACGCCTCGTGCGTGGAGCCGTCCCTCCTTCCGGATACCCTCGATGGACATCGCCGCAAGCTGCCGACTGGGCCGCGGAGACTGGGCACGAGACCTGTGGCTAAACTGCTTTGCAGAAGGAGGACAAGGAACTTGCGCCGTCGCCAAGGATATGCAGGGCATGGGGTTTGAATTCTGAAGGGAAGGAACACCGACATGTGGTACAGGGAAGGCAGGAAACTCTAAGCAAAGGGAGCAGAGTGACCTGGAGCAGAGGGAGCGCGAGAGCCCGGAGTGGGTGATGGGAGCGCGCGTGGGGAGAGGCGCGGGAGAAGCAGGTGGGATGTGACGCTGGCGTCGCAGAAAACCGTCAACACGTCTAGGAAACCGGGGCTTTATCCCGATGACGATGGAGAAAGTTTGCCAGGAAAAGGCAGAGTCAGAGGGGGCCGGCACTGTGACTCGGGGGGCTGTGAAAGCTCTGCCTGAGGAAGTGATGGGGGGAGGGCGGCTGCCGAGCGTAAGGGTTAGAGAGCTTGAGAAGCTGAGGACGAACGGACAGCAGGACCTAGTGACCGCGGGCGAGGGGAGGAACGATTCCAAGGTGTCCCGCCTGCTCAGTTGCGAGGATCGAGTGACCAGGGGCCGCGGGCACATTGCTAGACACAGGCTCTCTCCTGGACGGCTGGCCCAGCGAGAGTTCCCATTCCCACGCCCTCTAGCTATTTCCCTTTGCCTTTTGGCTCCGTTGACGGAAGAGGCTAGCCTCGATTCCTCCTGACAAATGCGACACGCGTTAGAAACCAGGCCGACAGGATCAAGGGCGGCGACGTTTCTTCACAACTCACTGATTCTCTGACCTCTCATCGCTTGGCCCTCCCAGGACACCCTCCTCAGCACCTTCTGTGTCAGAATGCATCAGTGACCTTGCCACCATTTCCGGTCACCAGTCGTCATCCTCTGTCTTCAGAACACCTCCCTTGACCAGTGACCCGCGCTGCTGTTTTCTTTCCCTTCCCCAGCCCGTCCTGCTTTCCCCTCCCCCTCTCCCTGAAATGTAAGTGCTCTCAAGACCCCTCGGCCTCTTTCAAGTCTCTTGAAGCAGCACGGTTTAAATCTCCCCACTTCGTCCATGTTCAGTCACCACCATCGTGGGGAGACCTTGGCCACACGGCGAGCTAGCAGCTGTGCTGGAACCAGAACCAGGCCCCGAGCTCCCAGGCCATCGCGCTCACGCTCACTCTCACAACTCGATACTTGTTTTCAAAAGGAAGACAGTAAACCTAGCAACCGAAGCTGAGATCATTAACAGAGTGCTGCTTTTCTTTTAAGCAGTCAGCACAAAGCATGGGCCTTGGTATGGAAAATTCTATTTGACTGTTGGCTGAAATCCCATTTCTGCCACTTCCTGGGTGAGTGACTTAGGGCAGTTTACCTATTTATACTTGGGCCTTTTTACCTATAAAATAAGAAAAATAAGAGTATCCACCATGACAAGGAGCTAAGCAGATCAAATGAGGGAATACATCAGAGCGCAGAGGCTGGTATCTGCCACACCGTAAGTGCTCAGGAAATGCTAGCTCTTGTTCTCGTCCAGTGCACACCAGGCCTTGTCACTGTCACCCGGCCGAGTGGCACTGATGTGAATGTTAGTGTAGGAATTTAAACATCGTCCCCAAAACATGCAGTATTATTTCAAATCAACAAGTAGTGAGTAGGTAGGAGCTGTGTGGGCACATTAACTATGATATTAGATAACTTTTCTTTGGTGTTCAGAGAATCTCAAACGCCCAGAAAGAGCTTGGAAAAGGTCAAGGCAGACAGACCCCTGGGGCTCCACCCTCGGTCACATCTCCACCTGCGGGAACCTGGACACCAGGAGAGGAGCACACTACTCAAACTTGGGGACACTGTGGTGATGCAGAGAGCGACCGTGGACAGCTGATGGCACAGCCACGCCTGCAGGGCAGCCTGCAGAGAGCTGTCCTCACTCCCGGGCCCACGACGCCCAGGCCCAGAGGCAGGAGGAAAGGGGCACAGTCACCTGGGCACCCCGGCTTCAGAGGGAACAGTCAAAGCGAGGGTTCCACACCAGCCTCTCGGAGGGGAGACCTGAACAGGGGGCCCTGGGGGACTCACTGTTGGACGCTCTCATCTGCCGCCGACGTCCCACGCGGTCCAGCCCGATGGGGGTGCTCTGGGAGAACGTGAACGGCCGGAATCGGGCCGAGACCGCTTTGTAGGGCGGCACCTGGTGAGCTGGCACGGGCGGCCTGGCTGCTGCCTATGAAAGGAAAGTAAGAGGCTGTGAGAAGATGCCAGGAAGTGGCAGCTCCTGCGAGCTCTTCACACGCACAGCTGCAAAGAGCTCGGCGCTCTCACCTCGAAGCCACTCACAGATGTGAAATGGTTTCCCCAACTCATGTCGAAGGCTTCGGGCCGCACCGAGGCTCAATGGCAATGAATTCTTCTGACATTTAAATAAATCGGTATCGACCCACCGGCTCTTACCTCACGGCATCACATTTCATCTTATCTGTCAGTGACATACCAACAGGTAACACTCGGTAAAAGCAAAGCGTTAGCTAAGCAGAGGAAAAGCAAATTTAGGAAGTGGTGGCTTTCTCACAGACGCAGAGTCACAACGTTTCTCACAGAGTCACAGAGTCACAGAGTCACAACGCAGAGTCATGACGTTAAGAAGACGCGTTCACAAGAGGAAGCAAGGACAGTGCCCAAGGCCACGGCCAAGATGACGGCTCGAGGCCCTGCCCCTTCCATCTCCCTCACTCAGCCACATGCAGGCACACGATTCTCGTTTACCTAAACTAATGTGACAAGTGAACCTTGATTAAAAGAAGAATTGGCTTCCCACAATTTACCCTGGTCTCTAGAACCATCTCTATGCCCTTTCGATCGTCCGTATTAACTGCCTATATGATTGCATCAAAGGCCAAGCCGGGTCACGCTTTCCTTAGGTTTTCTTAATTATCTTTTCACTCAGTTCCATAAATGAGCTTACAGTGCACACGGTTATCTCACTAAGCGCCTTATTGATGCTCTGAAGTGAAATAACTTCTAAGTGCTTCAGATCTTCCTTACACTGCATTTTGAGTTAAATACATTACAGTTTGCTTTAGTTCAGAATTCGTTCCTAGCACATAGAGCATCTTAACATGACAAAAAATTTGTGGTATTTTTCAACTTAATTTGTTTTTACCTTAAGAATTCAATTTAATTCGATTAAGCAAGGAGGTTTCGAGTGTTTGCTGTAAACATGGCACTGTGCGGGCCTTTACAGGCAGAACGTAAACATAAAATCCAACACCAATATAGAATTTCCTTTTTAAGAGAATTTTACGAGTTATTTACGATATCAGCTAGCAAGTTTAAAAAATGAAATCGGGCACTAACTATACTGTTCTGTGAGCCCTTGACCATGGCTGGGGTATTAATCTTGCCAAATAACTGGGCCTTTATTTAAATGTTTTGTGTCCTCAAAGAGCTCTTTGGGTAACTGATAAATACTGGTTGAATTACTACATTATAGTAATGGAATGATATTAAGATTTTAATCTATTATTGAAGCAGTTGCAAAGCTGCAACTCAAAAGCAAGAAAATGGCAGAAAAAATTACTTCCTTGTCTCCTAAAAAAGTCGATTTCTTCTTTGTTTTCTGATCTTTACATTTTTAACAATGGAAGCACCTTATTGACACTTTCTCTTTCAAGAATTTCTTCTTTCAGGAAGCTCACTAATGCACCCTGCCCCTTTCCCCTTATTCAAATCTCAGGTGATTTAGAACAAACAGCGGGCTAGTTTCACATATTGTTCGAGATCCCAGCAAAGACAGAAGATTAGGAAAAGGCATCCAGATGTCAGACGGTTAGTTGTAAGTCATGCACATTTGCAAGGTCAGGAAGAAAGGCTGTGAGCAGATGACATCATCCTGGAGTTAGAGAGAAGGACTGAAAGCTGCGTCCTGTTTAGTTTGCTAGGAACAAAGGGCAGGAAGCCAGGGCCCGCTGGAGTTGGGAGCAGCACACCAGATCTTACTTGGGTCAGCAGGGTCTCTATTTCTTCTGTCTGGCTGTTCCCATAGAAGCTGACCCCGCCTATCACAGAGACGGGGCGCTTTCTCCGGCCTTTGGGGCAGCCCGGGGCAGCGTTCTGGTGCGCAGGGTCCTTGGACGGCGTGCTCGGCTGCTGGCCACTGTCCACAGTGTCCTCCGTCTGCGGGTCCACAGCAATAGAGTCCTCAGGAATAGACAAGCTCCGGCCGGCCAACTGGCCATAGTCCGAGAGGGGTCGCGGCCTGGGTCTTCTCCCGGAGCCCCACCTCCTCTTGCAGACCCTCTGCAGCCCGGTCCTGTCCTCCTCCTGGGGTGGGTCCCGCCTCCAAGGCTCCTCAGTAGCAACCTTGTCAAATGCGGACAAGTTAGGTGAGCGCCCGTACCCAGGAAGGTATTAAAGAGAAGCTCCGAGTCCACTCCCACCCTCCTCGGCCCTGCCACAAGCCTTTCTTGATTCATTTATTTTAAAATGCTATTTGTTCAAGAGACATAACTGCAGTGTGGATTAAAATAAGCAAGTCTATCTTTAATCGAAGGTTGTATTAAAACTAATTTAAATAGTGGTGTCTGCTGACCAATGACCAGCTCTGATAAAAAATACTTAAAAATCTGCACCACAGAGAGTTAATAAAAAGCAATTTTAACTACAGTAGGGCTGTCACCCAAAATATACACAACAGTAGTGTGGGAGGCAGGCCGGCCTGTGGGAGAATGGAAGTGTAATGCTACTCTAAGGTATTGTCTTTCAACAATGTTTGGATATAGAAGGTGCTTTGAGAAGATTAAGTCTGGGTTGTTAGGGCCGGACACTGATTCAACTTAAGTACACGGGGAGGAGGGGAGGGCACCAAACCAGGATTCAGAAACCGAGGTCCTGCTCCTAGCTGGCTGCGTGAGCGTGGACAAGTCACAGCGAACCTTTCAGAATCTCGGATTTCAGACTAGACAGTCCCACGGCTGGAGTGCCTCCGATCCTAAATTAGGCAATACTTTCTAATTTTTCAAGTAACTTTTTCAGAGGCCATGCAGTGTACCAGAAAACGACCCACGAGGTCTGAAAATGAGCAGATTTCTGTGTAAGTCAGGCTAGCTAGCTTTGTAACCTCGGGCAAGTTTTAACATCTGCGGATTTGGGTCTGTAACTGTTGGTGGGGGTGGGGATGGGTCCTAGTGAGGATGATGAGCAACAATGGTAAATAAAACAGCCCTTATCAGCCGTAGTTAATTATTGCTCTTAGAAAGCACTGCCATCCCGATTCAGCCCTGCCAGGAAATAACCTTTATCTCAGCAGACGCCACAAAATCTGGTCTCCTAGTCTCCCAGGAGGGCTGTGTCGGAGCACCAGGGAGGAAGCCAAAGTCTGCGGCAGGCACCAGCCACGTGCCTGGGCGTCTGGGTGCCTTTGGTTCTTCCGTCTCAATACATTTTAAAGTAAAGTAAAAATAAAAACAGAACCAGGCACAGGGAGAGAACCAGACGGACCAGGAAAGTCACGTGACTGCAGGGCAGGCAGAGCAGGCCGCCCGGGCTTGGAGATGGCCAGCAGGGGTGATGTGGCAGCCCCCGGCAGACCAGTCCAGCCCCACCCACGAGCACTGGCCCAAGAAGTCTCACCTCGTGCCCATCGGTGGCAACCGAGGCCTGAAATGCAGGTCCCCTAATTTCCAATCCGATGTGCCTAAGCGTCCCCTAAGGTCACGTATGAAAACCATGATGAAGAGGAAAGGAAGTAGGGAGGGATTTACAGAGTCTCTAGTCGCCCCGCCCCCCACCGCCCCCCATCATTCTTCAAATAGGAAAATGGAGACCTAGAGAAGTGAAGTGACTCGCTCAGGGCCACGCAGCCCATTAGCATCAACACTGAAATGTGGGTCTTGTAATTTCTGTTCCCGCGAAATTCTCCCACCATGCCAAGTCGCCTCTGCTCAAAAAAAAGGGTTCCGACGATCACAATGACCTTGCTATGCACTGGCCCCAACACTCCGGAACGCTATGTTTATTTCATGTCACTACCGAAGGATCCAGAACATAAAAACTGTTTTGAGCTGAAGGTATTTAAAAAACAGGCTTTTTCCTTGAGCTCCCCCATCTGCCTGAAAGCAGAACCTCCCAGAAGAATGCAGTTGTCCTAAGTCCCCTCCCTTGGGATAGAATTTCCTTCTTCCAGTGGGGAAGAAGGTTCCCCTAAAACAGCTATGGTCACAAAACCATCACACCTCCCACCTGTGTTTCCACGGGCCCATTTATCTTCCCTAAAAGTCACTTGTTTTCCCATAAGCACCCTGCTCCCATATTAAGATGGTAGGTAAGTCCCCAATTCTAACTCCTTCCTGGAGTCACATTTTTCTTGTCTACATTAATAAAAATCTGTCTTTTCTCTTGCAAATCTCTTTGTCAAGTTTGATTCCCACACCCCCAAGCGGTGAACCTAAGAGAATGAAGGAAACGTTTTCCTCTCTGATGCCACCATGGGAAACTATGAGCGAAATCGTGGAAAAGGTAGTATTATTTTCTGCGTTACATATGAAAAACAGGTTATTATGGACAGTTTAAATTACTGAGTCAAATGGCACAGGCAACTTAAGCACACGATGAGACTAAACCCATTTATATTACCACCCTGTGATAAAGTTTCAGAAACAACGTGCTGGAGAAACAGAAATACAGCAAAACTACGGCAGTGAGGAGCCTGGTCACGACCTCCACGTGTTCGTTTCCACGGATGCAACATGCAGCCTGCTCTTCCTCACTGATGCCGAAGAGAAAGTAAGAAAATGGGTTTGGGAAAACAAGTGGCTGTCCTAGCTGCTCAGGTAACAAATCCTTCTGAGACCAAAACACACTCTGGGAAGTGATGGAGGCCAGGTAAAGGCAGGTGTGCTGAGGGCAGGGCTCGGAGGGCAGAAGTCGCCCGCTGGGTTCCCTTAACGCATCGGTCCCACACAGAAGAGGTCCCACACAGAAGAGCACCACCACTAAAACACTCCTGGAAGTATTTAAACAGGCCTATTGAAAATGTAAAAGGAGAAACACCCCCTCTAAGTAGTACCAAATGTTCGAGGAATTGCAAAAATTAGTTAACAGAATGACAGATAAAATCGAACCGTCCACTTTACTCCCAGCAGAAGTACAGACGGAAAGAAGTAAAATCCCTCCGCTTTAAGCCCACGTTCAAACAGTGATCCTTAGCCGGAAGCGACTTATTTTCTTCGCAGAACAAATCCGAACTCTGATGCATATCCTGAGACTGAATCGTCTTTTAGCAAAGTTTAGGTACTTCTGAAATAGGACTAAGGGTATTCCAGGGTAACATAGCTTAAGAGTGATCATACCTGGAACACAAACACCCAGCACCACACACAACACTCTGCAACAAGCTGGAACCTACCCCGGACCCTGCTACAGGAGGCGGCGGCCCACAGACACACTGGAGGACCAGGCAGTTGACCACTTCCATGCTCTCTGAGGTCTCTTCTCGCCTTTAAGACACTGATCGATACATCGGGGGTATCGGTGGCTGTGCCAGAGCTCCGGCAGCTTCTTCTCACAGGCCAGCAGCCTGAGCTTCAGACCAGTGCAGGCTGGAATGGCCAATTCACACCCAAGCCATAAACTTCTGTAAACAGATCTGTCAGTGGGGTGGCTGCCCTTTTAACTCTTGCTTCTCCCAATAGTTTTAAAGTTATTTCCCCAATCAGCGGTCCTACATTTTTTTTTTTCTTTCTGATACACGATTCCTTTATAAAAGTAAAAAGCCAAGGTAGATCTTATTACCTCCAATTAGACACTTCAAAGCATTTTTTGAAACTACAGTGAGAGTAAATTACTAACCTGAGGAAAAGAGATAGACTCACACGCACCAAAAAACCTTAGGTCATCTATGTCCATTCAGAAGTCTGATCTAAAGTAAGTATACAGTGTCCATCTGCAAGTGTCCTGGGTGGAACTGTGTCCTCCTATAAGATATGTTGAAGCCGTGACACCTCCCCCCTCCCGCCGCCCCCCTCCCGAGCCCCATACCTGTGATCGTGAACTCACTTGGAAATATGGTGTTTGTGGATGTACTGACTTTTAAGATGAAGTCAAACTGGGTTAGCTGAGCCCTACTTCACTGGCTGGTGTCCTTAGGACAAGAGGGAAATTTGGACACAAAGACAGAAGAAAGGAAGCCATGTGAGGACAGAGGCAGTGTCAGGAGATGGGTTTATAAGCCAAGGAAGCCCGAGGCTCTCCCCTGGGACCTGACAGGGAGCTCTGCCCGCCCACCTGGACTTCAGACTTCTGGCCTCTGCATCAGTGAGAAGCAAAGACTGTCATTTTGAGCCATCCGGTTTGTGGTCATTCGTTACAGCTGCTCTAGGAAACTAACAAAGCAAGGTAATTCAGAAGAAAATAATACAGGCAAAAAAATTAAGATGCTCTGTGTAGATTAAAAAAAAAAAATAAAGCACAGAGACTTTGCTCTGAACAGCCAAAGGGACTCTCTCAAGATGCCACGAATAAATACCAAGTCTCCCAGGCTGTGGAGTCCTGGATCCTGTGGGAAAGGCGGGTGCAGTCACCCCACTGGAGGGGAGAAGGGGAAACACTGTGACAATGTTTACAGGACGGCAACTATGACAGTGACGAAAGCCACGACTGCCCGTGACATACCAGCCCACACCAGGCGCGTTTTCGTATTTACCCTTCCCAACCGCCCTGGGAGGCGGGAACTATTTGCCTCATTTTACAGTTTAAGACACTGAGGCTAGAATAAATACGATTACCTGCTCAGGTTACCAGACTCACAAGCGGAAGAGGCCCACTGCGCAGCCCAGTCCCTCTCACTTCACAATCTATGTCCTTTCCGCTCTGCATCCTTGGCATCTACTTTTTTAAAAATTAAAGCAAGTGCACTTTTAAAAAAAATTATAGTTCGCATACAATAGTATGTCAGTTTCAGGTGTACGACATGGCGAGTCGACATTTCTATGCCTTACGGTGTGGCCACCATGGGGGTCTAGTACCATCGTCACCACACGAAGTCACTACACATCACTGACTCTGCGCTCTGCGCTGTACTTTACATCCCATGTCCACATTTTTAAATGCATAAAGTAAAATAGGATTATACAGTGAGCTGGTGATTTTAAAATACCATGATCAAAATATTAAAAGGATTGTGCTATACGTGTAACACGTGAATTGAGAGGAGTAGAGACAGGTCTGCTAACTGTGTGCTCTGAAGCACGAATGAGTTAAGAGACACTTTAAGACAGCAAAACCTGTTGCATAATGTGAAAAAGATCTGTGATGTCTACTGGCGACAACAGCACAGGTGCTGCTGAAACCGCTCTGGTTTGATG